ATATATATATACATATTGTACAAAAAAGAGTGTCAGACTGAGCGACTCGTTGAGTACAAGCAAATATGCATAAGCTAACAACAACAGCAACAACAGCACAACAACAACATCAGTAAGAGCAACAGAAACAACTTGGAAGCGCATTTTATTTACATAAAAACAAATGACCAGCATTTTGTGCGGGTCTCCAAGCTGCTGGCTGGCTGACTAGCTGGATGCTATCCATCGGGTAGTCAAAGTCAAAGCCGGGAGTGAGTTGTACAAATGGTAAACAAAAAATGAGAGAGCAGTGGAAGTAGCTGCGGAAGGTAAGACAGGGGTTGTAATTATCCAGCATGAGAGATGATGGGGGCAGCAGTTGAAACCCTCAACAAAGTTGCACACGTTGGTGGGTCTATTAGGTAAATGCCTGAGCATGGAACTAGGGACTGGCATTTGCTGGGAAAGTTGCAATCGTCGTCAGTCCCTAGTCCCCAGCATGAGCTGGCAAATACATAAATGTGAAAGGATGGCAACAGAATAATCTGCAGATGGCTTTGCTCACAACTAGCACCCGTACCAGAAGCTCAAGGAGTACAGCTGTAGATATTTATGTTTAGCTAAAAGTACTTGGCAATATCACAAAACAAAGCTGATACTTAAATGGAAAAATAGCTTCGCAACATATGACAAAGTGGAGAGTACAAAAATGTGAAAATTTCAAGAGTTTTTGGTGAAGTTTTTATATTAAATATTTTACTAATTAAATATTTAAGAAGTGAGTTTATCTAGCAAATTATTTTTATTTTTTATGAAATTGGATTTAACGAAAAATAAAGTCTCAAAACAGGAATAGAATATAAAAAATAATTAAAGTATATATTATATATAAAATAAAATGAAGTCCAAATCAAATAATGAATAATGAAAAAATTATATGAAATTTAAAATGTATATATTATGATAATAAAAAAATAAATAAAAAGAATACCAAATAAAATAAAAAATATAAAAAAAAATACATAAAATTATAAAGAAAAAAATATAAAAAATTACATGAATTAATAAAAGAAATATATATATAAAAAGGAAAATACACGAAATTTTAAAAAACAAAATAACTTAAAATAAATTATTAAATATAATTTAAATAGCTTACATTTTTATACAAAATAAACTACATATATAAAACCAAATAAACATTCAAAACACTAAATAAAAGATATATATATATATATATATATATATATATATATATATATATATATATATATAAAAATTGAAATGCAATTAAAATAAATAAATACAAAATATAGTCTAAAAATTTGTTAAAAGAAAAACAAAACAAAATGTATATTAAAAACTTTGCGAAATATCAAACTTTTTTTAATCCCTAACATAAAACATAAAATCTCGCAACTCTCAGATGCAAAGCGGCTTTGAAGAGATGTTTAAGAATATTACACAAAAATGAGTTTTGGGCCAATTCCAAATGGGCCAACATTTGCTCTGGCAATTGCGGTCAGTCTGCCCCCCGTTTTTTCTTTTTAATTTTATATGCTGTTTCGCTATATGTGGGCCGGCTGAGCTAGCTCCTTCCTCCCTTGCCTGACTGCTGCCCACAACCTGTTCAACATAATTTGCAGCAGTTCTTTTTAATCAGAGCAAGTGGCTCGCCGGACAAGTACTCTGCAAGTAGTTCGTTTAGCAGCAGCTGCTGCTGCCCACCGATTAGCCGCTGAGCTTAGCTGAGGTTCAATGCACTGCAAAGTGGTTGCGTATTAACCCACACACTCACGCGTCGCACGGGCGGGGCGTGACGGTGAGGGGCAAGTTTTAGACAAGTGCGTCAAAAGTTTAGCACGTTTGAGGCAGGGCTTTAAGCCAAATCGGTGCTAAGTCCGGCTATGAGCCAAAAGCCGTCCGTTCGCCGAGGTTTAAGCTTTAATTCAATTTGCCTAGCTAAAGCGCTGGGATTATATAGTCAAGTCACAAGGCACATATATGCCCGTACGTGTATATGTGTACGTATGTCTATAAACCTACATATTCACGGGCTTAGATAGCCTGTATTCCCTGCTTTTTGGCCATCAGCGTTTACGAGTTTGTAGGCAAAAGAGATTTGAACATTCTACAGTTTTTTTCCTGTTGTATTACAACTTCTCTCTACACTCTCACTGCCTCTGCCTCTGCCTCTGCTCCTCGCCCCTCGCAGAGCTTAACCACATCCTCAATTTTTCTAGTTGTGCTAAAAAGCGAACAACAAAACACACACAGAAAAAAATGTAATCATAATTTTTGTGCCGCCTTTTGTAGGTTGTAGGTTGGCCGCTTGCTACACATGTTGAAAATTTGACTGCCTCAAAACTGTGTGCTTAGTGCGCTGCCCCATTGCGGGCTCTCGGGCAGGTGTATTTCTTTTTAACAGGCCTGCCTGCCTGCCTGCCACTTTTTCTCTACTTTTATTTCATGTTGTTTTGTTTTTTGCCTGGTTTGCCTTTTGCAGCTTGACTGGTATTAATTTTGAACGCGTGCAAATGGAGCTACGACCACGACCACGAGCTCGACCACATGCCGAGGCAGCTGCTCGCCTGCTCACCTGCTCAGCTGCTCAGCTCCATCCATGTCCCTGGGCGTGCGCCAACCAAAAACCAACTGAAGCTGCTATCATAATGATGCCAACTGCAACTGCTGCTGCTGCTGCTCCCTTTGAAACGATGTGCCACAAAATATTTAAGCAATTTGCTTTAAACTACATAAATTACGCATAATAAACATGCACGAAAATCGATTGCCACAAAATCTTTGTGAATTTTTAAATTACTTTTAAACGCTTTTCTTCTTCTTCTCCCTTTCTTACTCTTATTAAAGAAGCCATTTCGTAATAATATGCAATTAAATTGTGAAATGGCAATTCAACTTTTCAAGCAAAAGCGAATTTATTTCACATATTTTTGACTCTCTGATTTTATGCCTGAATATTTGGAGGACATTTCAGCAATACTCTCGACAGCTTAAGTACTTTAAAATTATTTTCATAATATATATATAAAAATGTATGCATAAATAAATATATATTACTTACTTATTATATGAGCAAAAATTTTAATACTGCATTAAATTTAACATTTATATTTTTCAGTTCAATTTTTGATATATTTTAATATTTAAAATTTATTTATTTGCATGTAGATAGCAAATATATTTAATGTTTTACACTTTAATTTTTTATCAATATTTTTTCAAAATTATTCTCATATTATTATTTTGAATTTTTAAATGATTTTTCATCAAGCTTTAAATTAAATATTAAAAACTATTTGATTGCACATGTTATATTTAAATAGTAAATTTTTTAAAAAGAATTAATATTTATTAAAAATATTTAACTCAATCTATTTTTTAAATATTATAAATTTGAAAACGTTTTTTATGAAAGTAAAATAAATGTTATATTTTATATTTTAATACTTTTTATATATTTATATTTTTAATATTTTATACTTTTATACGTTACTATACATTTTAATTTATAATATTTTATATTTTTTATGTATGTTTTTTTATGTTTCATTAAATATTACACCTATAAAGTGGCAAGTTGATGTCATTTTTGTCTGTAGGAGATTTTTATTTTTAATTTACTGATTTCCTGATGAGAAGAACAACTCGTGAAAAAATGGAGCATCTTGACTTGCTAATCTACAAGTAACAAGTCGACCCATTATTCCCTCATAAATCTATTTCTATATTTAACAAATTCTTTTGTCTTTGCGCCGCTCGAGCTCATAAATGCAAAGGCACGTTCCACTCTCTTTTCATTTGCAATTAGCAGGGCGTTAATCAAAGATTTTCAAAGCTCACTAATAAATTCGTCATGTGCTGTAAAAATGATTAAAGGTCGTGCTAAACAGACAACGACGAAAGCTGATGGAGCAAAACTAAATTCTTAATTCAATTTCCAAACATTTTCATCGGACGATTTTCATCGACGTCGGCGTCTCTATCGACACATTCATTAGCATTGAATCAAAAACAGAACAGAGACAATTTTTGAGTGTGTATTTGTGTGTGTGTGTTAAACTTGTTAAAAATTTTACATTTTTTATGCAAACAGAATTTTAATGCTCGTTTCAATTAGCAGCCGAACAAACTGTGCAACAAAAGGCGCCAAAAACTTTACAATAAAAACTAAAAAACAAAAACTATGCAAAATGCAAATTTGCAAAATTGGAAATAATTAAAAACAGAAACCGACTGCAGGCAGCAACAGCAACAACAACAACAACAAAGTGTGATGGCAAAAATGAAATTATGTGTGCCACAAAGTTCGCCTCGAATTATGTCGCATAAATCAAATAAACAGCAGCAGCAGCAGCAAAAAAAGTAAAAATGAAAGGAAGAAGAAGCAGCAGCAGAAGTTGAGGCACAGCAAAAATGTTGAGCAAAATAACTGAGAAAAAATGTATACGAAAAACTTTTGCATTTAAAGCGAGAGCCAGAGGCTGGCGCTGTGTGAAGGCTGTGCTGCACGGCGTGGCACGGTGGCACGGTGGCAAGTGCCCCGTGTGTTAGCGCAACACTTGGCTATGGCCAAAAACAAAAACAATAACAACAAAAACAGCAACAACAACTACAGCAATTTTTATACGTATTCGCATTGTGAAGTAGAAACCGCAGCGGGCAAAAAACAAGTGTTTAAATGTCAACAGCAAACACAAGAAAAACCAGCAGCAGCAGCAGCAGACAGCAGACAGCACATCAGACAAAAGGAGTTATGTGCGAGTGTATCTGCAAAGTCTGCGGAGCCACACAATTCATGTGGCAAGATAAACGCTGCCGCGTCTGCGTCTGCGACTCATCTTCTATTTGTTGTTATTTTTTTCTATTCATACATATTTCACTTCTTTTTTTGTTGTTGTTGTTTTGTAAGCCAAATGTCATGAACTTTTTGGTGCGGTCAACGTAGCATCTGCATCTGTGAGATACATTTTTGGCGCACATGACGCTTAATAACTTACCCGCGAGCAATGCAAATGTCAAAGTTATCCAAAACTGCATCTTGTAGCTTTTCGATGTGTTGCACATAGATATATGTATGTATATATATTCGTATTTGTTAACAATTTGATTGGCTTTGTGGTTGGCTGTTTACAGTTGCAAATACTTTTGTATCTTGTTTGTGTTTAATTGCAAGCCGCTGCCGCTGCCTCTGTTAGGCTTGGCCATGCATTTGAACCATGCATTTTACACAGAGACACATATACACTCACACACACACTCACACAGGTAGTTAAATTCAACTGTTGTTTAAATTTGTTAGACAAATATTTTTTATAGCGACTCAGTTGTTTTTGTTTTCGACTCTCGTCTCGACTTTGTTTTGTTTTGATCGCAACACACGCTCGAAAGATGCTTGACAGACGCGACGTACATATACAACGCGCAGACCGTTGAAGACTAAACTCAGCTACAATGCCGCCTTCGCAGAGACGTCCACGCTGCCAATTGCAACTTGAAGCATCGCGCACAGCCGCTTGAAGCGAACTCAAACCGGATGTCAAGTGGCTGCCATATGTGTTTGAAGCCAGCTCGAACTCAAACGCGTACTTATACGAGTCAAACGTCGGTTTGGGTCATTGCTAAGCCGGCAATGCGACCAACAAGATGTTTCAACTGAATGTTCTGGCATTTAATTAATATTAATTTGTATTTTTAAAATTTATATTAAATTAAATTAATTATATCCTTTTTATAATTGCTATTTTTTTTAAGTCTTTTTTATTTGTTTTTATAACTTTTCTATGTACCTCGCAGCTTATCTAAAAACGATTGCAGCTTCGTTTTATCTTTTAGTACAGCTGCTTCGTTTCAATCTTCGTTTAGCAAAGGCACGACTCTCGCACAGCAGCCATGGCGCTTGCGCCGAGCCGCTGTCGAAGTGGTGCTCTTCTCTGCTAATCGTTTCGAACTGTGCAGACGCGGCTCTTATACAAAACTCTGCTACGCCAGCAATAGCAATTGCTGAATATAATTTCGAACTCTTTTAGCAGAGCGCACACGAAATGAGCTGCCAATTCGAACATATATAAGAGTTGAGGCTCGGCACAGTAGAAGAGTTGAGTGTAGCAGAGAGGCAGGCAACATGTCTGAATGCTAACTTTATATTTTTTTTTCGATTATGAAAGTAAGAGTATTCAGTCTGTCCTTCCGTCCGCTTGTCTAGCTGGCAATGTTGGTGGAAAAACATGGGACAAACTTCATCGAAAATGCAGGCGGGGCCAAACAACAAGTTTAGCCCAAAAGATTCTAAAAACTTTGCCATACAAGCGAAAGTGCCAGCCATGGGAAGTCAATTTGGCTGCTTAGTGCACCACACTACAGCTCCAACAATAACAAAGCACACACACACGCACAAGACACATCAAATATGTATGTGTATAGGTACATATATTGAAAGATGGATTATGTTTGGATTTATGCAACTTTACTGTGGCCCAACTTCTACATCTTCAGCCAATTCCACTTGAAAGATACAAATATTTCATAACGAAGAGATTTTTAATGTTTTGGGCAAAACATTTGCCATCTTTAATTTTTTTCTTTGGGAACTTAATTTAATTTTTTTAATATTTATTAAAAATATAAATAAATTTAAAAAAAATTACATTTACAAAAATATAATTTAAATATATAAATTATTTAAAAAATCCCATACTTATTTTCTCTAATTATCAACGTTTACACACTTTGTGGCTTGGCATAGCCACATGCTTCACCCTTCAGCTGGACAAAGCTTTCCTATTTGTTGTCATAGCCTCTGTTTCCTCTTTAGAAGTGCTCGTACTGTTTGTAGAGCTCGTGTAACTTTCATTTTTCACTTTTCACTCTGTTGCAGTTTTGCAGTCTGAACTATCATGGAACATGGAGATCACCTGCACACAGTTTTGTAGTGAAAAGTTTGTGCACCACAAGCCAAAAATGTTTTATAAAGATTTAATATAATGACTGAAGAGTTTGCTTAAGAAATTTAATTGAGTTTTCTAAATAAATGAAATTTGAGCTCAAAATAAATAGAGAAAATTTGATTTGATGTTTGATATTTTATATAAATTATAATTTAATTTACTTTTCTAATTTTCATATACTACTAGGAAAATGTCATATATCATATATATCTTCCACATCTAACATATCTCATACATCACTTATCATATATATCTCAGAAATCATATCAAATATTTATATCTTCTACATTTACATAGCTTTTATATCTCTTATATGGGTCACATATTTCGCATATATCTCGCATAACAGTTCACTCTCTTCTTCTTTCCCATTTCTATGCCCACCATTGGTATAAAATTTACAAAAATATTTCAAATATTTGATATAAACATTTTTATTCAAATTCCCTGTCACTTTGCCGCTCTGCGTCTCAATCTATTTCTATATCAAATGACTTTTTCGAAATTAGAGCTCACAGCTCGCAGCTCGCTGACAATTCAACACATAATAAAATTATGAATTCAAGTTATCTTATCTGCCATCTTCCCTTCCATCGATGGGGGTGTGTCCTTAGCATAAGTTGAATTTTAATCGTGGCTGTTGGCTTTGCTAATGAATTCCTACACACACAACCCCTCGCATGGCTACTAACAAGAGCCAACACGCATTCGTGTGAATTTATGATAGAGATAAGCATTATTCTAAGAACTCTTCCAGTGAAACAGATGTAAATTAAATTATACATTTTAAATTTATCAAAACAAATATCTTTTAATAATTCAAAATTGTATTTAAATGTTTTTAAATTAAATTTTACAAATTAAAAAAAGAGTATATTACATAAAACATATTTATTAATGAATTTCTTTACTTTAATATATTTTTTATTTTAATATATTTTAAGCAAATTCATTTATTTCTTAAATTCTTTAAATGTATTTTAAATTTATACATTTTTTATTTATTTTAAATCTACATAAATTTCAAATTATTTGCCTTAAGAAATTGTTCAATAAATAAGTTTTAATTCCATTTCAGTGAAAATAGAAAAGGGAAGTAAATTAAAATTCGTAATAAATATTTTAAGTACATTTCATGAAATGCAAAATTTATGTTATATAAAAATAATTATTGCATATGCTCATAAAACTTTAATTTTCTTTTTGCAAATTAATTGAAATGCTTAAAAAACAAAGGAAAAAAAGCAAAATGCGAAATGCGAAAACGACTTTGCGTTTGCCGCTGATAAACTGCAATAAAAATGTTTTTTTCAATAACCAAAAAATAAAGCCTGCAGCTGTATACATATATTTGTATGTGTATATGTATGTATATTTTTATGTTAGCAAAAAAAAAAAAACAAAACAGAAAATAAATATAGTTAAAGGCAACAACACTCAGCGAAACTGACTCGAATCGCCATCTGTAGCAGACATTTGGGCGCATCATCCACGTGGTTGACTTTCGATGGGTAACGCATGAGCGGGATAAGGAAAGAGCAGCCCGAGTAGAGGAGCAACAGACAGACCGACAGACGGGCAGACAGACATGTGCACATTTATACCTATGTAAGCTAGCAAATGCAGAGGTGCGGGCAGAGGCGGAGGCAGAGGCAACGGCCGGAGCAGAGTCAGAGTCAGTGGCCAGTAGTCCACAGCGGGCTTTATTAATGGCTCATAATGACTTAAGTGAAATTACTGAAGCATAGCGAGCCCCCTTTCACTCACCCTCTCCCGCTCTCTCTCGCTCTCTGTGCCTCTCCCACCACCTCTCCTCTTTGTGTCTGTGGCATCTCCCTTTTGGCCTGGTTGAAAATTCAGCTGCAGTCATAAACAGCGAGAATTCCCACGCGGCATTTAATATTCCTTTTCCTTTGGCCAAGTAAATTCTCTACGTCCCCCCACCCCTCTCTCTCTCCCCCTCTCTGTCGCTTACATGGTTTCCCTTGGCATATCCACAGGTTTCTTCATCGTAGGCCAAAACGTAGTGTATATTGCATTTAAAGGCCAACTTAATTTGATTAGCAAACTGAAACTTAATTGCAATAGCAGCTCTCTCTATATACACTCGCCTTATATGCAGAGTGCTCTAATTGTGTTTCACACAAAAGCTAACTAATTTCTAAGAGCTGAATTTTTAGTTTTTTTTTAACATTTGTTGAATTCTGCTCAGCATAGCATTTTGGTTTGTGTAATAATAATTCATTTTTAAATGAGATATTTGTTCATTCATTGTACTTTTTACCTAGCTTACTTTATTACATATTAATTAAGCTTAAGCTAAAAGCTGATCTCTCTTTTTTAATCAAACGAGCCAAAGCTTGTAACTAATCATAGATTCATCTTGTTTGTTTGAAGCTTTTAAACCATTTTATGTTCCTCGATTTAGCTTTTATCTAATCTAGAAATACTCAATAATTTTGCATAAGATTTGGCTCTATTTAAAATAAAATATTCTAACACATATCACACATATCATCTATGTATAAACAAAAAATAAAAATAAAATTAAGTAAGCCACTTAAGCTGTAAGTCCGTTGTGCGTTGTTCACTCATAGATCTGTCTTAAACTTGCCTTCCTATAAGAGCTAACAAATTTACATGCAAATACTTTAGGTCAATTATCAATCTCACTATTTCACTAATTGTATAATGAATTGTTATATATTTTTATTTTTAATTATATTTTTATCAACATATTATTTATTATCTATTTAAAGTTTTATTATCTGGTAAACCTAGAAATTTTTATTTTTGTTATATATTTCAATCAAATATATATTTATTTATATTTATATATATGTAAATATAACTTATATGTAAATATATATATAAAATAAAATTTTACTATTTTTATATATTTAAATAAGGCATATTTATAAAAATTAAATTTTTAATTGAGTATAACATATATTTAATATATATTTTTTTTCCAATGTATATATATCCATTTAATTATTTTTAATATTAATTTATTATTTATATTAAACTTTGTTGTAAACATTTCATTTCTTTATTTTCTTTTTACAGTTTTAATTCATATTTAATTTATTTATGCGTTATGCCCAATTAGACTTACTTTTAAAATGATTTTTTTGCCAGAGATAACAAATCCACTTTTGTATATTTTTTTATAAAATATATTTTTTAGTATATTTCTGCAATTATTCTCATAGCAAATATTGCATTTTACATGCATACATTTAAATACATATTTTCATACATATATATACATACATAAAGCGCAGAAATATATTTAGGGAGAAGCAGCTCTTCCGAATCAGCTTACCACATACACATGCAAAT